GTAGACTAGACGTAACATAGTAAAAGCAAATCTGTTTGGAACGATTACGTAAGACTGAAGGTCACTTAAGGCAAAAATGTAAGGAGGGTGGTTGGTCGGGGTGGATGGGTGGGGTGGGATGGTAGGGGTGGGATGGGTGGGGTGGTTGGTCGGGGTGGATGGGTGGGGTGGTTGGTCGGGGTGGTGGTGGGTGGTGGTGGTGGTCGGGGTGGTTGGTCGGGGTGTGGATGGGTTGGGGTGGTTGGTCGGGGTGGTTGGTCGGGGTGGATGGGTGGGGTGGATGGTCGGGGTGGATGGGTGGGGGGGTTGGTTCGGGGGTGGTTGTCGGGGTGGCATGGGTGCGAGGTGGTTGGTCGGGGGGTGCTATGGGTGGGGGATGGGTGGGGTGTATGGGTGGGAGGTGGATGGGCTGGGTGGGGGGTCGGGGTGGGTGGTCGGGGTGGATGGGTGGGGTGGTGGTCGGGCGGGTGGTTGGTCGGAGGGGCATGGGTGGGGTGGGTGGTCGGGGTGGAATGGGTGGGGTGGAGGGGTCGGGGTGGCTTGGTCGGGGGGATGGGTGGGGTGGTGGGTGGGGTGGTTGTCCGGGGTGGATGCGGTGGCGGGGTTGGTCGGGGGGGCGATGGGTGGGGTGGATGATGCTGGATGGGTGGGGTGGTGGTTGGTCGGGGTGGATAGGTGGGGTGATGGGGTGGCGGTGGTTGTCTGGTGGTCGGGGGGGGGAGGGGTCGGGGTGGATGGATGCTCGGGCGTGATGCGGGGGTGGATGGGTGGGTGGCTTGGCGGGGCGTTGTGGAGGGGTGGCGCGGGGGATTGGGTGGGGTGGTTGGTCGGGGTGGATGGGTGGGTGTTATAACGCGAATTATGTCGCAACCCCACACCCCCAAACGTTGCAGTGGTTCAATTCCTCACTCACATGGAAACTTTAGCATTTAGATAATTAGCGCTTTTCAAACACCTAGCACCTAAGGCTAACGTTTCAACGCCACCTTAGCCACATAGCTAACGTTTACACCTAGCCACCTAGCTAACGTTTCAGCCACCTAGCCACTAGCTAACGTTTCAGCCACCTAGCCACCTAGCTAACGTTTCAACCACCTAGCCGCCTAGCTAACGTTTCAGCCACCTAGCCACCTAGCTAACGTTTCAGCCACCTAGCCGCCTAGCTAACGTTTCAGCCCCTCCGCCACACCTCATACGTTACCCTAGCCGCCCGCCGTAACGTTCGCCAAACAAATTGGAATTCGTTAACATATCATACATCTTAGAAAATCGATCAACCATATCATACAAATTGGAATTCGTAACATATCATACCAAATGGATGATGGACATCCACAAATGGATAAATACCATAAGAAACGTAACATACGATGGAGAGTCTCGGATTTACATAAAGAATAATAGGAAGCAGAGAGAGCAGGTTGCAGCGCTGCAACAGGCTCCACTAATGATGCATGTTTTAAACATTTCAATAAATAGATTTATCCCCAATATTTCACAAAATATGATTTAATAATGAAGCTAAACCCCTATGTAGCCTGAGGCACACAGGTTTGATGTTCACACAGAGAGGAGAGAGAGAGGGGAGAGTTTCCAGCGTGCCGACCGGACCCTGCAGTCCTGTTGTTTAGGTGTGTTCCGATTAGAAGTTCCCCATGCTGGGATCCCTTAGCTGACACAGCCTTGGAACGGGGCACGGCTCTACCAGGGACTGGCGTGTGTGGGACCACAGCCTTTATCATCTCTCTCCTCGCTCCTACTCTCCCTTCTCTCCTCTCTAGAGACGAGAGAGACGAGAGAGAGTAGAGAGAGGACGCGCGAGAGAGGAGAGGGAGAGAGGAGAGAGGAAGAGAAGAGGAGAGAGCGAGAGAGGGTGGGGCGAGCGAGAGATAGGAGAGAGGAGAGAGAGAGAAAGAAAGAACGAGACGCTCTCGCGCGCTCTCGCTACGCTCGCGCTCTCTCTGCTCTCTCTCTCTCGGCTCTCGCTCGGCGCTCCCTTCTCGCCTCCCTCTGCGATACGCCGCCTGGTGCTCTCTGCTCTCGTCGTCGCTCTTCGCATCTCTCTCTCTCTCAATACAAGGCCTCGCGTCTCGCTCTTCTCTCTCTCTCTCTATACTCTCTCTCTCTCTCGATCTCTCTCTCTCTCTTCTCTCTCTGGATGTAGTATCCGAGGAAGGCAGTTGGCTGCACGAGTCTTCATTAACACAGGAATCCATATCACAATTTTTTAAACACACTTCGGGGTTCACACACATACAGACACACACACCACACACACCACACACACACCAACACACACACACAACACACAAACACAACAGGCCATAGGACAGACCATTTGATGAGCCCACTACCAGTTTCGTACTGTTTCTATTCATTACTTAAAGAAGACGTTTAAAGAGAGAGGGGGTTGAAATCCAAGACTGTTCGGTATAATAGGTTTCAAAGGACATTTTTAGAACATATAATTACATCATCTGGTTTGATGGGACCTCCTATTTGACAGAAATACATAACACTAAAACCTGCACAGACACAGTTGAAATGTGACTGAGGTGAGTAGGGCGCTGTAGGGTTAGGGTTGTTAGAGGTAATATAGGGTGAGCAGGGCGCTGATAGGGTTTAGGGTGTAGGGTTTAGGTTGAGCAGGGACGATGTAGGGTGTATGGCTTGTGTAGGGGTGAAATGGATGTAGGCGTGAGAAGGGGCGCTGTAGGCGTTAGCGGTGTGGTGTAGTAGGCGTGAGCAGGGCGCTGTAGGGTTAGGGTTTAGGGTGTAGAGTGAGCAGGGCGCTGTAAGGGTTTTTAGGGATGTAGGGTTGGTAGGGTGAGCCAGGGGCCGGTAGGGTTAGGGTTTAGGGTGTTGTTAGGGTGAGCCAGCGGCGCTGTTACGGGTTTTTTAGAGGTTTTAGGGTTGGTAGGGTTGAGCAGGGCGCTGGTAGGGTTGGGTTTAGGGTTAGGCGTGAGCAGGGCGATGTAGGGTTCTAGGTTGTAGAGGTGAGCAGGGCGCTGTAGGCGTGGTATAGGGTGAGCAGGGCGCTTTGTCTGTAGAGGGTTTAGGGTCTTTTAAAAAGGGGATAGGGCGAGCAAGGGCGGCTGGTAGGGGTTAGGGTGGTAGGGTTGTAGGGTGAGCAGGTCGCTTGGATGTAGGGTTTGGGTTTTAGGGCGGCGCAGGGCGTGTAGGGTTAGGGTTTAGGTTTAGGGTGATAGGGTGACGGTGAGCAGGGTGCTGTAGGGTTTAGGGTTTAGGGTATAGGGTGAGTAGGGCGCGCTAGGGTTTGGCTGTTTAGGGGGGGAGAGCAGGGCGCATTGTAGGGTTTTAGGTTAGGTTTAGGTGGGTTGTAGGTGGAGCAGGGTAATTTAGGGTAGGTTTAGGGGGCCCCTCCCCCTGAAGCAGGTTGTAGGGTGAGCAGGGCCGCTTGTAGGGTTTCGGGTTTGGGTGAGCAGGGCGCTGTAGGGGTTAGGGTTTAGGATTTAAAGGGTGCTGAGGGTCCGAGCATAGGGCGCTGAGGGCTATTTTTCGGGGCTTTAGGGTTGTAGGGTGAGCAGGGCGCTGTAGGGTTTAGGGTTTTACGGGCTATGTAGGTGTGAGCAGGGTCGGTAGGGTTAGGGTATAGGTTAGGAGTGAGAGGGTGCGTAGGGTCTGTATAGGGTTGAGGGTTTAGGGTGTAGGGTGAGTAGGGGCACTGTAGGGTTTAGGGTTAGGGCGGTAGGGTGAGCAGGGCGCTCTAGGTGTAGAGGTGTAGGGCCCGGCTGGAGCAGGGCGCTCTAGGGTTTAGGGTGTAGGGTGAGCAGGCGCTGTAGGGTTTGGTGTAGTTTTGGTGTAGGGTGAGTAGGGCGCTCTAGGGTTTAGGGTTGTAGGGTATAGGGTGAGCAGGGCGCTCTAGGGTGTAGGGTGAGCAGGGCGCTCTAGGGTTAGGGTGTGTAGGGGTGAGCAGGGCGCTGTAGGGTTGGGGGGTTAGCGCTGGAACATTAGGGTTTCGGGTTTAGGGTGTAGGGTGAGCAGGGCGCTCTAGGGTGTAGGGTGTAGGGTGAGCAGGGCGCTCTAGGGTTTAGGGTGTAGGGTGAGCAGGGCGCTGTAGGGTTTAGGGTGTAGGGTGTAGGGTGAGTAGGGCGCTCTAGGGTTTAGGGTGTAGGGTATAGGGTGAGCAGGGCGCTCTAGGGTGTAGGGTGAGCAGGGCGCTCTAGGGTTTAGGGTGTAGGGTGAGCAGGGCGCTGTAGGGTTTAGGGTGTAGCGCTGGAACATTAGGGTTTCGGGTTTAGGGTGTAGGGTGAGTAGGGCACTGTAGGGTTTAGGGTTTAGGGTGTAGGGTGAGCAGGGCGCTCTAGGGTGTAGGGTTGTAGGGTGAGCAGGGCGCTCTAGGGTTTAGGGTGTAGGGTGAGCAGGGCGCTGTAGGGTTTAGGGTGTAGGGTTGTAGGGTGAGTAGGGCGCTCTAGGGTTTAGGGTGTAGGGTATAGGGTGAGCAGGGCGCTCTAGGGTGTAGGGTGAGCAGGGCGCTCTAGGGTGTAGGGTGAGCAGGGCGCTCTAGGGTTTAGGGTGTAGGGTATAGGGTGAGCAGGGCGCTGTAGGGTGTAGGGTGAGCAGGGCGCTCTAGGGTTTAGGGTGTAGGGTGAGCAGGGCGCTGTAGGGTTTAGGGTGTAGGGTGAGCAGGGCGCTGTAGGGTTTAGGGTGTAGCGCTGGAACATTAGGGTTTCGGGTGTAGGGATTAGGGTGTAGAGTTTAGGATGTAGAGTTTAGGGTTTACGGTGTAGGGTTTAGGGTTTAGGGTGTAGGGTTAGGATGTAGGGTTTATGGGCCTGTTGATAATCAAGGCTCCTCTCCTAGATTGTCCCTGAACTTATGTTGTGTTTCTTTTGTAGGACTGACTGAAGCCCCATATCATATTTGTCCCCCAGACGTACCTCCCAACCCCCACCCCCCCCCCACACCCCCCTGTTGACCTGGCCCCCTTGTCGACCTGACCCCCTGTTTTAAAGCCCTAGGAGCTGTTAAACAGGATAATGGAGAACTATACGGCTGCAGGCGCATCGAACCCAGAGACAGACGGTATCCGTCTGAACTGCAGCATGTCCGGGAGGCACAACTTCATCTTCACCCTGATCCCAGTAGTGTACGGCTGTAACTTTGTCATTGGCATGGTGGGGAACAGCATGGTGGTGGCAGTCATCTACCGCTACATGAAGCTGAAGACAGTGGCCAACGTGTTCGTCCTCAACCTAGCCATCTCAGACCTCACCTTCCTTATCACCCTGCCCATGTGGGCCACCTTCACAGCCACAGGCTACCAGTGGCCCTTCGGTGGGTTCCTGTGTAAGGCCAGCGCTGGCCTGGTGATGTTCAACCTCTACAGCTCCATCTTCTTCCTCACTGCACTCAGCGTCGACCGCCATCTGGCCATCGTCCACCCGGTGAGGTCACGGCAGCGCCGTACTGGGCTCTACGCCCGTATCACCTGCGTCCTGGTTTGGCTGCTCGCCCTCCTGCTGTCCGTCCCCACCGCACTGACCAGGGACCTGATACACATCACCAACTATAACATCAGCACGTGTGGCGTGCTGCATCTCGAGGTTTGACATGATTAGGGCTGTCCTTTCACGAAGTCACTCTTAAACGGGCACCTCTGTGTAAAGATTTGTTGTCTTTACTATTGTTGTTTTCAATTGAATTGAGTGTAAAGGGTTTAAAGTATTTAAAGTATTTAAAGTATTTAAAGTGTTTAAAGTGTTTAATGTGTTTAAAGTATCTAAAGTATTTAAAGTATCTAAAGTATTTAAAGTGTTTAAAGTGTTTAAAGTGTTTAAATTATTTAAAGTGTTTAAAGTGTTTAAAGTATCTAAAGTATTTAAAGTGTTTAAAGTGTTTAAAGTGTTTAAAGTATCTAAAGTATTTAACGTTTTTAAAGTATTTAAAGTATTTAAAGTGTTTAAAGTGTTTAAAGTATTTAAAGTATTTAAAGTGTTTAAAGTGTCAGTCTTCCCCACCTGCTATCTACCATCTGACTGGAGCATCCTACTACTTTTAATAATCTAGTCAATTTAACCAATCAATCAATCAGGGCTCCAGGCACCTCCTCCTCACCATCAGCCTGATGAAGAGCATCCTGGGGTTCCTGGTTCCTTTCCTCATCATCATATCATGCTACTGCCTGATTGGTCGAGCCCTGGTCAGGGCGCGGAGCATCCAGAAGACCACCCGGTCGAGAGATGATGAGGTGTTGAGGATGCTGGCGGCGGCTGTCCTAGCTTTCTTCCTGTGTTGGGTGCCCCACCAGGTGGGACGAGACTCTCTCCTTCCCTCTACTCAAACACACTCTGCATTCGGAATAAACTCTTTTCACACACACACATACACACACACACACACACACACACACACACACACACACACACACTAACACACTGTTCTCTAAAGAGACTCACTCCACACACACTTTATACTAAAGGTAGTCAGACTTTATACTGCAGTGTCTCAAAGGTTATTCTCTGACTTTATTCACTCATTCTTTGAAATTGATTTTCCTGTTATTATCCTGTTATTATCCAGTTATTATTATTATGTTATCCTCCAGTTATTATCCAGTTATTGTCATCCTGTTATTACCATGTTATTATCCAGTTATTATCTAGTTATTATCCTGTTCCTCCGTGAATGTTCTCTTGAAGTGATGAGGAATGTCATTTTTGTCTTTCTAGATCAGTACTGTGTTAATGTAATCTCTTCCTCTCCTCAGGTATTCCACTTGATGGAGCTGCTGGCCCAGCTAAAGGTTGTAACTAACTGTGTGATGGTGGACGTCATCGACACGGCCATGCCCTTCACCATCTGCATTGCCTTCCTCAACAGGTAGCTCATAACCAGGTAGCCCAGAACCAGGTAGCCCAGAACCAGGTAGCCCAGAACCAGGTAGCCCAGAACCAGGTAGCCCAGAACCAGGTAGCCCAGAACCAGGTAGCCCAGAACCAGGTAGCCTAGAGGTTCATCTCAGAAAACCCAGAACCAGGTAGCCTAGAGGTTCATCTCAGAAAACCCAGAACCAGGTAGCCTAGAGGTTCATCTCAGAAAACCCAGAGCTAAAATCTCACGTAATTGCATTAGATGTTAAGTGCATCTGTCCACAAGAGATTACCTAGAGAATAAAAAGGCAGGCCAGCAACTGGAAGGTCACTGGTTCGAATGTTGATGCTGACTAGCCTTGGTACCAGTCTATTTGTGCTATCATTCCACTCCTTGTCATGCTAAAATGTTTGGCATATGACATGGAGTACAAGGGGTGGAATGATAGCACAAAACATAGCTGGATTTCAGGCTAGGAACAATCTGGTGGGGAGCAAATGTCTGTTTCAGTGAAACATTGACAATAATAAAGTATTACAGTTGAAGTCGGAGGTTTACATACACCTTCGCCAAATACATTTAAACTCACATTTTCACAATTCCTGACATTTAATCTTAGTAAAAATTCCCTGTCTTAGGTCAGTTAGGATCACCACTTTATTTGAAGAATGTGAAATGTCAGAATAATAGTAGAGAGAATGATTTATTTCAGCTTTTATTTCTTTCATCACATTCCCAGTGGGTCAGAAGTTTACATAAACTCAATTAGAATTTGGTAGCATTGCCTTTAAATTGTTTAACTTGGGTCAGACGTTTCGGGTAGCCTTCCACAAGCTTCCCACAATAAGTTGGGTGAATTTTGGCCCATTCCTCCTGACAGAGCTGGTGTAACTGAGTCAGGTTTGTAGGCCTCCTTGCTCGCACAAGCTTTTTCAGTTCTGCCCACACATTTTCTATAGGATTGAGGTCAGGGCTTTGTGATGGCCACTCCAATACCTTGACTTTGATGTCCTTAAGCCATTTTGCCACAACTTTGGAAGTATGCGACTAAGCTTTAACTTCCTGACTGATGTCTTGAGATGTTGCTTCAATATATCCACATAATTTTACTTCCTCATAATGCCATCTATTTTGTGAAGTGCACCAGTCCCTCTTGCAGCAAAGCATCCCCACAGCATGATGCTGCCACCCCCGTGCTTCACGGTTGGGATGGTGTTCTTCGGCTTGCAAGCAACCCCCTTTTTCCTCCAAATATAACAATGGTAATTAAGGCCAAACAGTTCTATTTTTGTTTCATCAGACCAGAGGACATTTCTCCAAAAAGTACGACCTTTGTTCCCATGTGCAGTTGCAAACTGTAGTCTGGTTTTTTTATGGCGATTTTGGAGCAGTGGCTTCTTCCTTGCTGAGCGGCCTTTCAGGTTATGTCGATATAGGACTCATTTTATTGTGGATATAGATACTTTTGTACCTGTTTCCTCCAGCATCTGCACAAGGTCCTTTGCTTTGTTCTGGGATTGATTTGCACTTTTCGCACCAAAGTACGTTAATCTCTAGGAGACAGAACACGTTTCCTTCCTGAGCGGTATGACGGCTGCGTGGTCCCATGGTGTTTATACTTGCATGCTATTGTTTGTACAGATGAACATGGTACCTTCAGGCATTTGGAAATTGCTCCCAAGGATGAACCAGACTTGTGGAGGTCTACAATTTTTTTCTGAGGTCTTGGCTGATTTCATTTGGTTTTACCATGATGTCAAGCAAAGAGGCACTGAATTTGAAGGTAGGCCTTGAAATACATCCACAGGTACACCTCCAATTGACTCAAATGATGTCAATTAGCCTATCAGAAGCTTCTAAAGCCATGACATAATTTTCTGGAATTTTCCAAGCTGTTTAAAGGCACAGTCAACTTAGTGTATGTAAACTTCTGACCCACTGGAATTGTGATACAGTGAATTATACATAAAATAATCTGTCTGTAAACAATTGTTGAAAGATTACTTGTGTCACGCACAAAGCAGATGTCCTAACCAACTTGCCAAAACTATAGTTTGTTAACGAGAAATGTGTGGACTCCAACCTAAGTGTAAACCTCCGACTTCCAACTGTATCTGATGTTATGTTATATCGCCCCCAGCTGCGTCAACCCCATCCTGTACGGCTTCGTGGGACGGAACTTCAGGAAGAACCTGTTCCTACTGCTGCACTGCTCCCCCGCTGGCCTGGCCAGGCCACACTCCTCCATCAGCTCTAAGATGTCCGCCCTGTCCTACCGCCCCTCTGAGGCCCTGCAGCTCACCAACAAGAACCAGCGGCCTGGTGTCTGATGTGAAGTGAGGAAAGAAGGAGGTGGAGTGTGCAGCTGTGTAACTCCATTGGCTCTTCGGGTTGTGTTAAGTGAGGAGTACGGAGGGATACACATTGTGTTAATGCCTCCCAAGTGGCACCCTATTCCCTGTATAGTGCCCTATGGGCCCTGGTCAACAGTAGTGCACTATACAGGGAATAGGGTGCCATTTGGGAGATAGCCACTGTGCTTTTAGAACCCCAACTGTTATACTGAACCATAGCTAGAAGTTCTACCTTAGAACATGGCTATCAAGTGAAATACAGAGGGAATGTTCCTTTGTGTCTGAATCGTATGAATTGAGTCCATGAGACGGCCGGTTGTTCACTGCCTTTGCACAACATACAGCCGATGTGCATGGTTAGTTAACAGATTTCATTGTAATGCAGCTTGAGGACAAAACGGTTGCATGATTTCTGTTTAAAAACTGATGATGTGAAATACTATTACTGTACTTCGGTATTCCTGTTTCTTGTTGTCACACAGGTACATAGATATGTAAGCAGAACCATACATACAGTATTTGTACTGCACATTCAGTAAATGTTAGCTTGAATATACTGTAACTGAGATTAACTTGATGAGTGAGAAAGTTACAGACGCAGAAATATCATTCCCCCCCCCCCCAAAAAAAAATACTAACCTCCCCTGCTATTGAAATTGTGAGGGGTATGATATTTCCACGTCTGTAACTTTCTCACTCATTAAGTTAATTACATTTACATTTTAGACAACGCTCTTATCCAGAGCGACTTACAGTTAGTGAGTGCATACATTATTATTTTTTTCATACTGGCCCCCCGTGGGAATCGAACCCACAACCCTGGCGTTGCAAACGCCATGCTCTACCAACTGAGCTACATCCCTGCCGGCCGTTCCCTCCCCTACCCTGGACGATGCTGGGCCAATTGTGCGCCGCCCCATGGGCCTCCCGGTCGCGGCCGGCTACGACAGAGCCTGGATAATCTCAGTTACAGTATATTCAAGCTAACATTTACTGAATGTGCAGTACAAATACTGTATGTATGGTTCTGCTTACATACCCCTAACCATTACAATAACAGGGGAGGTTAGTATTTTTTTGGGGGGTATGATATTTGTGCGTCTGTAACTTTCTCTCTCATCATTATTCATGATTCATTCAGAATGATCCGTAACCATGGTAACATCCACATTAACGTAGAAGTGTTTAGAAACATATTCTATTCTTATTTACAATAAAAGTGACTGCATAATGACACAATACATTATTTACCGTTAACATTTATATTGGGCACAAAATAATCTTAAACACAAGCTAAACAAACAGCAAATGTTTACAACAAATGTGTAGAGTCACAAGATTGATGTAATCATTGCTTGCTATGAATATGGGACCAAATACTACACCTTGTACAACTTTAATACACATATACAGTTGGGAGAACAAAATCGGCAGTGTATCAAATACTTGTTCTCCACACTGTAAGTGAATTTGTCCCAATACTTTTGGTTCCCTAAAATGGAGGGACTATGTACAGAAAGTGATGTAATTTCTAAACGGTTCACCCGAATATGGATGGAAATACCCTCAAATTAAAGCTAACAGTCAGCACTTTAACCTCATAGTCATTGTACCGTTTCAATTGTCACTGTCCCAATGCTTTTGGAACTCACTGCATTTGTCCTATTTTACACATTTAAGTTGTAGCTACAAGCCTGGCCTGTTCACTCCCATGCTCAACCAAACAGAAGGACTTGCCTAGCCTGCCTTCAGCTAGTGTACGATTAACTAAAATATGTCTACTACTTATAATTGTAAAGTTGATGATCTATGTAACTTTTGTGACTGTGTTTGGTAGTGCCGACACCATGTGACTGTGTTTGGTAATGCCAACACCATGTGACTGTGTTTGGTAATGCCAACACCATGTGACTGTGTTTGGTAGTGGTGCCAACACCATGTGACTGTGTTTGGTAGTGGTGCCAACACCATGTGACTGTGTTTGGTAGTGCCAACACCATGTGACTGTGTTTGGTAGTGCCGACACCATGTGACTGTGTTTGGTAGTGGTGCCAACACCATGTGACTGTGTTTGGTGATGCCAACACCATGTGACTGTGTTTGGTAGTGCCAACACCATGTGACTGTGTTTGGTAGTGCCGACACCATGTGACTGTGTTTGGTAGTGCCGACACCATGTGACTGTGTTTGGTAGTGGTGCCAACACCATGTGACTGTGTTTGGTAGTGCCAACACCATGTGACTGTGTTTGGTAGTGGTGCCAACACCATGTGACTGTGTTTGGTAGTGCCAACACCATGTGACTGTGTTTGGTAGTGCCGACACCATGTGACTGTGTTTGGTAGTGGTGCCAACACCATGTGACTGTGTTTGGTAGTGCCAACACCATGTGACTGTGTTTGGTAGTGGTGCCGACACCATGTGACTGTGTTTGGTAGTGCCAACACCATGTGACTGTGTTTGGTAGTGCCAACACCATGTGACTGTGTTTGGTAGTGCCGACACCATGTGACTGTGTTTGGTAGTGCCGACACCATGTGACTGTGTTTGGTAGTGCCGACACCATGTGACTGTGTTTGGTAGTGCCAACACCATGTGACTGTGTTTGGTAGTGCCAACACCATGTGACTGTGTTTGGTGATGCCAACACCATGTGACTGTGTTTGGTAGTGCCAACACCATGTGACTGTGTTTGGTAGTGCCAACACCATGTGACTGTGTTTGGTAGTGCCAACACCATGTGACTGTGTTTGGTAGTGCCAACACCATGTGACTGTGTTTGGTAGTGCCAACACCATGTGACTGTGTTTGGTGATGCCAACACCATGTGACTGTGTTTGGTAGTGCCAACACCATGTGACTGTGTTTGGTAGTGCCGACACCATGTGACTGTGTTTGGTAGTGTATGTGTGATGTGTTGTGGGACTGTGTTCTTACAGCAATGCCTTTGTGTAGGGAGACTGGCACCTGTAGTGGTTTAATGTGTTCCATTGGACTGGGAGAAATACATTTTGTGGAGCCAACAAAACTTTCCGCTGCAGCTGTATAGTATAGCACCTGGGATTGGGGAGATTAGGGAAAACTTTCCCAAAATTCCCAGGTTTACCAGAAATCCTGGTTGGAGGAATCTAGATTTCCTGTATATTCCCTCCTGATTGCTGGAATTTTACAACCATGATTTGGGAAATTTGGGGCAAGTTACCAGAATGCAACGCTGGGGAGAAGATGAAGATAATGTTTAACAGGAGAACTCCAGGTGATTCTGGACATTGGGTTTATATTATGTATCTGTGGCAGATCTGGTGTCTTTGAATTGAAACATGTTCACATTGTTCTCTAGATATTTGTTATTCTGTAAGTGTACAGTTCATCACAAATATACATATGAATAAAATCTAAATACATACGTATCCTTTTTTTAATCGATAGGGACAAAGAGACAGGATTAGTGTTACATTTTAGCAGACGCTCTTATCCAGAGCGACTTACAGGAGCAATTAGGGTTAAGTGCCTTGCTCAAGGGCACATCAACAGATTTTTCACATAGTTGGCTCGGGGATTAGAACCAGCAACCTTTCGGTTACTGGCACAACGCTCTTAACCACTAAGCTACCTGTTAACCTATCCCTTTAACCACTAAGCTAGCTGTTAACCTATCCCTTTAACCACTCAGCTAGCTGTTAACCTATCCCTTTAACCACTAAGCTACCTGTTAACCTATCCCTTTAACCACTAAGCTACCTGTTAACCTATCCCTTTAACCACTAAGCTACCTGTTAACCTATCCCTTTAACCACTAAGCTACCTGTTAACCTATCCCTTTAACCACTAAGCTACCTGTTAACCTATCCCTTTAACCACTAAGCTACCTGTTAACCTATCCCTTTAACCACTAAGCTACCTGTTAACCTATCCTTTAACCACAAGCTACCTGTTAACCTATCCTTAACCATCAGCTACCTGTTAAACCTATCCCTTAAACCACTAAGATACCTGTTAACCTATCCTTAACCACACCTAACCGCTAACCTGTTAACCTATCCCTTTAACCACTAAGCTACCTGTTTAACCTATCCCTTTAACCACTCAAGCTACCTGTTAACTATCCCTTTAACCACTAAGTACTGTTAACCTATCCTCTTTTAACCACTAAGCTACTGTTAACCTATCCTTTAACCACTAAGCTCACCTGTTAACTATCCCTTTAAACCACTAAGCTACCTGGTTAACCTATCCCTTTAACCACTAGCTACCTGTTTAACTATCCCTTTTACACACTAACGTACCTGTTAAACCTATCTCCTTAACCACTCAGTACCTGTTAACCTATCCCTTAACCACTAAGCTACCTGTTAACCTATCCCTTTAACCACTCAAGCTACCTGTTAACCTATCCCTTTAACCACTAAGCTACTGTTAACCTATCCCTTTAACCACTAAGCTACCTGTTAACCTATCCCTTTAACCACTAAGCTACCTGTTAACCTATCCCTTTAACCACTAAGCTACCTGTTAACCTATCCCTTTAACCACTAAGCTACCTGTTAACCTATCCCTTTAACCACTAAGCTACCTGTTAACCTATCCCTTTAACCACTAAGCTACCTGTTAACCTATCCCTTTAACCACTCAGCTACCTGTTAACCTATCCCTTTAACCACTAAGCTACCTGTTAACCTATCCCTTTAACCACTACAGCCCTTTACCTACCTTTAACCACTAAGCTACCTGTTAACCTATCCCTTTAACCACTAAGCTACCTGTTAACCTATCCTTTAACCACTAAGCTACCTGTTAACCCTATCCCTTTAACCACTAAGCTACCTGTTAACCTATCCCTTTAACCACTAAGCTACCTGTTAACCTATCCCTTTAACCACTAAGCTACCTGTTAACCTATCCCTTTAACCACTAAGCTACCTGTTAACCTATCCCTTTAACCACTCAGCTACCTGTTAACCTATCCCTTTAACCAC